GTGCAACAGTGACAGCGTGTTGAAGGCAACAAACCCAGATGAAATTCTCCGTAGTCACGAGCAGCTATGTATACGTCGAGCCGAGGCTGTGAAAAAGAGGGGCATCTCTCTGCTCAATGAGGTGGATGCACAGTACAGCGCACTGCAGGTGGTGTATCTGTGGCACAGAGCATTCCTAAAAAAATATCTTCTAAGTCAGAATGTTTGATGCAAAAGTTAATTTTTTTTTGTTCTGTTTGAAAGCTGAAGAAAGATTTTCCTAAAATATGTTTGTTTTCCAGGTGAAATACGATGAGCTGTTACAGCGATGCCAGCAAGCCTCAGATGAGCTCAGCCACAAAGCCGTCCAGACATCCAGCAGTCCCTTTGCCAGCGGCCGCTCCCGCCGCCGCCTGTCCAGCTCTGCAGCTCTGTCTGATCTGTCCGTGCTTCTTGAAGACGGCCAGCAGCCGGAGTACAAGGCTCTCTTCAAGGAGATCTTCACCTGCATCCAAAAGACCAAAGAGGACCTCAGCGGAAACGAACAACCGGTCAGGGACGATGAATCCTCCAACTGAATGTTATTCATCTCAATATGACTTGCTCTCTGTTACACTGTTCAGAGGGTGCAGGTGCTGTAAATGCTTTCAGGCCCTCAAAGTCTTAGACATGCCTGTTGCGTCCTTATCAAAAATTAAGTGGCAAAAAGTAGCTAGATGTATTATATTTGTTGTGAGAAATATTTATAGTTGGATCAATGAACAAAAAGCACGTTTTCACATGCAGACTGACTTCAAAATCCAAAAGTATTACGTCCGCCTGCAATAGTATTCAGTTTTTTCTTTTTTGTAATGGCTGCCCCGTGACCACTGGGCCCTTTGGTGTTTGGAAGAGAGAGGCACATGTAAGGGTGTTACGCTGTGTTACAGTGTTTGATAAGATGGCGGTTGAGTCAGAGTTGTGTAAACTGAGAAGTTGGACTGTTGTAATATTGGAAGTCTAAGGAGTTTAATTGTTAGTGTAAGTAGGTTTTTGGAAGTTGGCATTAGTTGGCTCACCAGTGGTGGTTCGGTGGCACACTAAGAGCAAAACGTACAGTAAGTGGACACTGGAAAACGAGTGTGTTAACACCAGAAAGACACAGAAAGGCTCTGCACTTTTCATGACTGAGTTCAGTTTTATTTATTTAATAACAAAAGATTAGAGATGATTAAATGTTTATTTATTTTTCTGAGAAAATTTAATCAAAGTGAAACTTCATGTACAATGCGGTGCTTCTTCTATGGTGGAAACACAAAATTAAACAAAGCATAAAAAAAAAAAAAATCAATGTTGTCTTTAGTTTTTTTTTTTTCTCCCTTTGGACCATTTCTTCCTATGTGGCTGTTTTTACTATTTTGTGTGTGTGTGTGTGTCTTTGCTAATGGTGTCAATTAGCAAAGTAAATCATTTCAGGAAAAAAGATGATGCTTCCTCCACACACACAGTTCATTGTTACCTACATCAATCCAGCCATTTCTCTCCGTACCATTTCATTTTCACTTGGTGTAGTTTTTCCACACAGACGTCTGCTGCCTGCTATCTGATGGCTTTGTGAGGTTACCACGTGTATGTCTTGCTAAGACCTGTCCCTTAGGGCAAGCATGGTATGCAAACCTCTTGTTAGGAGGTGCACAGAAAAAAAAGATTATATATATATTTTTTTTCTTTTTTTAAAAAAGGTGCAGACTGTTTTGCAGCATGCTGCTTTTTTTTTTTTTTTGCTTTTTTTTTTCTTCATACATCTAAGAGATGGCATCACTGCATTGCTTTTGAGCAGATATGTTTCAACCTGTTCTTCATTTCAGTGCATAATTGTGAGCTATCAGCAGATGAAAAACAACCTTAGGAGTATGTACCATATGGACTCTTATTTCTTTCCTCTCTTAAACTTCTGTTACCTAATAAAGTGAACACTGCTATAAAAGCAACCGTAAAAAATAAACTCCGTTATCTGTAATGCTGCTGTTTTTGTGGGAGAGAAAATCGAATCAACACACACAACAGTAGTGAAGCATATTTTCTGCAAAGCTCAGAGTTGCCCTCATTCTTAAAGGTCACTGAGACCTTGTGTACGCTGGCACAGCAAACAATTAAACAACCTTTTGTCTCTCTTCATAATTACCCTACTTGCCACTAGTTCCCAATCCTTTAAACCTCCAAACAAGAGGTTTGCATACCATGCTCGCCCTAAGGGACAGGTCTTAGCAAGACATGCACGTGGTAACCTCACAAAGCCATCAGATAAGCAGGCAGCAGACGGCTGTGTGGAAAAACTAGACCAAGTGAAAATGAAATGGTACGGAGAGAAATGGCTGGCTAACAATGAACTGTGTGTGTGGAGGAAGCATCATCTTTTTTTTCCTGAAATGATTTACACTGTTTGAACAATGACCTTTTACTGTATTGACACCATTAGCAAAGTAGTTTCCATCATTTTGGGGGTGGTCAGCCAGTTTCACAAGAACATAATCCAGTGTTGTTTTGAGCAACAAAAGTTCATTTGATCTGCACCAGATGATATAATTGATTTGATTGAGTGCATATAACATTCACACTTTACTTGAAAACTTCCATATTAAAAATAAAAAAGAAAGGAGTTGCAGCTGCAGTTACCTGGTCGATTAAGATAAAGTAGATTAAAACAAATTTAATATTGAAACATCCAACAGTGTATAAAATACAGACAGATGAAAGCAACATAAAGTGCATTGTTAAGGTTTATGGACCAGCATGAGCTACCAAAGAGCCATCAGGACAGTAATTAGTCTCTGGATCTGGGTCTCTCCTCACACTATTCCTTCATCTGGAATGGAATAAGACGGATATTGAATGGGTAGGGAGTCAGTGTCACATGGGGACCCATCCCATCCAAGTGTGTTTGGTAGATGATATTTATGAGAGGATATGTAGAAGAATAGGAGCTCGTCAGGCAGATGCCAAGAACCCCCTAAAGATATGAGAAGGACTACAGGTGTAGATAGCTCAGTACACCTGTAGTCATATGGCAAACTAATGAACTATCTCTGGCTGCTGCATTTTCTGTTCAATATCAGAGGCTGGAGCCCATCAAACATGTGGGCCCAGGGGTCTGTAAATTAATGAGCAATACAGTGGTAAACATTGTCCATCAAAGTTGTCTGTATGATCGGTTGACTGCAACTTCCCTATCATATGATTCTTATCATTTTAATTTCCATCAGACCACTGTGATCATTTGCAGTGATGAACTGAACATAAATCATGAAAGCAAAATGACCTGTGCTGCATATCAGAGCCCCCAGAGGGCTTCAGTGTGTCGTGGGTTTATGCATTTTCCTTTATTTTGTCACCTTATTTTTCTCTGCGGCATATAAAGGCGGACGTTTCTGAAAGACGTGACGAAACGACGCGAACGCATCACAGGTTACACGACCTTACGACGTGTTATTTAAATCTAAGTATCCGAGAACCAAAGGTGTGGTAGCGTGGCCGAGTGGTCTAAGGCGCTGGATTTAGGCTCCAGTCATTTCGATGGCGTGGGTTCGAATCCCACCGCTGCCAAGAATGTATCATTTTCTGGATTAGCCATGACTCAGTTGAGTATGTGGAAGGCCGTAGACAGGTAGATTGGACCCGATGTCATCAATAACATTAAATGTCCAAGCGACGATGTGAATTTTAACGCTGCAGGTAACCCTTGGCATTCTTATGCAGTGCAAGTGCTCCCCCATGTGGCAGCTTCAAACATGACAATGTTGAGCTTTCAACCAACACTGATCCCGATAGTGGAAGGACAGCCATCCTTCCACTAAGACCACTTTCGATGAGGCTTCAGTGAACAGTTGATAGCAGCTGAAGACTAAATGCATCTCTCGGGTCCTTTGTCAGATCTTTGCAGACTTTGAGATACAGTTCATCTGCTGAACATATTTTTTTAGGCCTCCCACTTCTTCTTTCGTTCTGGACTTGACCAGTTTACTCACATTTCCTTAAAAACTGACCGCACTCCATGCTGAGATATGGCAGTTTTTCCCCTAATACCTCTTCACGAATCAACTTGTTCGTCCACAAATACTAGTTTATGTCGGTCAGATAGTGTTATCTCGGCCATTTAAATAGATTCAGCAAAAGATATGTGAACAAATGATGTGTTTTTGTATGACAGGCTACTAATAACAAAGTCCTGGCGATACAATTTAATACTGTCTGTTATGTGTTCACACAACACTCGTTCGTCTCTTGAGTTAGCTGCCTTTTTTATGCTTGAATGATTCATAAGCCAGTGAATGTGGTCAGGTACAAGGACTGGAAAATAAGTGCAAAACCAGCCAACGTGCAAGTAAAACGTTTGAAAAACCTTCAGAAAGCCTGAAAAAATAAATTGTGCATAGCTACAGCAAAAGACTATAATAATGTCTTTGAACCAAAGAAATTAAGGGTGACTCAATTCTTTTGCACAAATACAGTATATGTAAATATGGTCTCTGGAGTTTTCTAGATGTTTTTATTTCTAAAAGTGTACAAAATTTGCAGCTACAATAATAACTGAACTCTATGAAATCACAAGTCTTTATGATACAAATTGGAAGCATGCTTTAAATACAACGACTTACAGTTCAGATAATTTTCTTTTTGTGATATAAAGTTAAATGTTTGCTTTAAAATAAACCACAATAAAGTCAAATTCCAGAGAAGTCAATAACATTCACATAATACATAATAGTTTTCAGCCGCCTGCTAGACTGACGTTAAACTCAGACACACACTGAGGTCTAAACATAAAAACAGCGGCTGTCTTTGAAAAGGGGAAACAGAACTTGCATAGCCTGGTATTCTGGAGACGTATTTTTGGAGCACGTTTAGCTGGGTCTGGTGATTTGTTATTATAAGTCAGTCACACTGTAATCAGTTAACAGAAGCTGTGTAAAAGCAGAGTCTCTCATCTGAAACTGCAATGCCTGAGATGAATGCAGTGCAGCGGAGCATCAGTGAAGGAATGTTTAGTTCTGACAAATTACGCAACATAGCATGAGTATCACCACGCTGAAACCCATCAGAAGCAGCAGAAAAAGCCGCCGGGGCTGCCGGGAGGTCCGGGACAGGCTGAAAAGCGACGAGGTGTTGCGAGGCGGTCGAGACTTCAGGTATTGCTCCACGGAGTCTGCGAGGGAGTAAGGCTTCGGGCTGTAGCCCAGATCTCGGCGGGCCTTGTCAATTTTAAAAGTGTGGCTCACTGCGATGTTCCTGACCTGCAGCGGAAGAGATGAGGCATTTATAGCTTCTTTTTTGTTGTTTTTTGTATTTCTTAATACGATCAGAGTCGTCCAAGTTAAAGGTCATTCTGTCAGGTTAACGGCTCACATTAGCCTCAGTTTGGCAAACTTAGTTTTACATTGTGATAACCTGTGACTGACGGATGCCTCCAGTTACTGTGTCTTCTTTCCTCTGAGTCTAAGGTTTCGGCACGTGAACACAGACTGACAGAAGAGGTCAAACAGACACCGGTGAGACAAAAAAAGAGTTCCTACTGTCCCTTTTCTTTTTTCCATCCATGAGTCACATTTTCTTTAATGATTTCAGCCGGTACACACCTTTTAGGTCTTTGGAGTTTTCCTGTATGACTCATTCAAATCAGTTGTGTATCCACGCATTAAGACCAAACTGCTGAATCCTGATTATCCTGCCAAACCTGACAGTTATCCTGACTATATACAGTATTTTTCTCCGTGCATTTCGAAAAGCCTCCAATTTTTCCTTGATTGTCTCACATGGAGTACATCTTGTCTTCCAGGAGTAACTCACTGCCACAGGCACCACTCCAGGACAGAGACTATAATCAAATGTAGCTGAAATGTGACCCATGCATTTGTATTCTCTGGGCTAAAGTAGCCTACACATCTTACAAAGTACACATATCCTTCTGCAGCTGCTCGGCTTCTTACTAGTGCCCCTATGAAGGGTGCTGAGATATGCCAAGTTTTCAGCATATAGCTTCTTGGGAGTCACTTTGTCCATAAAAAATATTTTATGGCAATCAAACCGTGTTATCTTTGGCATTTTTTAAATTCAGCTAAAAAATTGGGGGAAAATTACTTGACATGGTTTTGCAACAGCCTGCTAGAAACAAAGTGCCTTAAGATAACATGTCAAAATTATCTTTTATATGTAGACACAACACTGGTGCTGCCTTGACTTAGCGGCCTTTTTCATGTTTGAATGATTCATTGGTCAATGATAATACAAGATAAAGCACCGGTTTTAAAATAAGTGAAAGAGGAGCCAAAGAAAGAAAAGCTTTGAAAGACTTTCAGGAACCCTGGAGAGCTACTGTTCAAGACCACGTCACAGAATTACAAGAAAGTTTGACGCCCTGGAAGCAGAATATAAAGAAATGACTCGTGACTTTTTGTGATGCCAGTGGGTCCAGAACATAACTCGTGATAAATTATAAAATTGATCTTTAATATTAAAATGTGCATTTTTGCAAAGGGAGACCATTAACACCAAAAATAATTATAGTGTTTCATCATGGTTTTGTAGTTTTGTGATGTTTTGGGGTTTTGAATTCCTAGTTAATCTTTTCAATTCTTTTTCTGATTTTAACATTCTGCTGATTGAGTTTTGGATTCCTGCTTTGATCTCTTACAGCTGTGGTGATGTTGAGCTTTAGATTTTAAGTGTGATTTCGGCTGTGGTTCCTGTTTAGTTTTTGTTAAGATGGTTTCCTGCTGTGGTGTTAGTTTAAAATTCTTCATACATGTTTAATGTGAGTTTTTGTGTCACCATGTTTTGTCTTTTGATTATTTCCTGTTTTATTTAAAATTTCAGTTGTCCCTCACATCAGAACCAGAATCAGTTGCACCAGAATCTTTTTTGCCCATCTGCCTGCTTTTCTCTCAGTTTCTTGTGCCCTTTGTATTTGTGTAACTTTTTAGACTTTGTATTTTATTTATTTATTTATTTATTGAGCAGTAAAACTTCTCTGTCTCATGCATTGTCTTTTTTTCTTTACCAAACAGTTCATTTCTGTTGGCAACATTTTAAAATATTCACTTCAAGGTACTTCATTTGAAATTCTATATAAGATATAAGAATAAAACCAGATGCTTAGTTGCTCCTTACAACAGCTTTTGAAACTGTCTTCCTATGTGTCTTCACAGACCAGGAAGAGGAAAATCTCTGCACATCACACCGTGCCTCAACCTGAGGGTTGCCGGGATCATTTGAGACCGGCCGAGAGGTGGCACAGCCATAGCAACCGCCTCTGCAGTGATGTCACTTCCTGTAAACTTCACCTCAAACTTCCTGGTCTGACCCACAGCAGTTTATGTTTTATTTACAGGGCAACCACTGATCCCCATGGCCAGCAGCTGCCTGAGAGAGAGAGCTGCGCATGCAGGCCCCTGGTGTTCAGCTTTGGTTTCTGTCTCATCACACATTCATGAGGACCTCACAGGCCGCATGTGATGGAGGCGCCTTAAGACATGTCGTACTCCAAGCTGCTCCTTTAATTTTATAGTTTTTTGAGTCAAGTAAATGTACGCAAAACCATCACAGATACAAAGACAGAATTAAAAGTTAAGTGTTCGTTTATCTGCTGAATTTAAAAAAGGGCTCACTTTAGTTTTTCATAATTCATGTGCAAGAGATAGCATCAGATGAGGGTGGGGGGGGCTGATCGGAAAATACTAATGTAGTCAGTCTCTGTCGTTGGAGAGACTTAAACATGAATGTTCTCATCAGACAGCGGGTAACTTCATCTCCAAGGTAGATATATGTACCGAGCTTGCCGGTGCTGTAACGTTCTGCAGTATAGAGTGACATCTTGAGTTAAAAATAGCTTTCAGAATCAGACTTAACCTTTATAGAAGAAGAAAGCTGCATAATTACCTCACTTCTGGTGAAAAGGAGCGGCACTGTTATCACCGGTCTCAGGACCACGTGCAGATATTCCACCAGGATGGCTTGAAATAGGAAGAAACACACACACACACACACACACACAGATTTAGCAGCAGCTCACCAAAGTTTCACTCAACTATAGTGAAAGTGAAAGAGAGAAGAGCTACCTGCTGAATAGACGAGTGAAACTGGCAGATTTATCAACGGCTGGCTGTAGCCCAGCTTCTCAAACTGCAACAGAAAGTTGAATTCAAAACAGAGGTAAGAGCAGCTTTCAGAATCAGAGTTACTCTTCAGGTAATCGCTGGTTTTAGCTTTTTCCTTAAGTCTGCTGGCAGACGGAGGCATCAACTCACCAAAGGCATCAACCATTCAAACAGATTGACCGAAACGCCATCGTTAATAAAATAGGCCTGTCCACTCTGCAAAAAGAACAGTTAACATGTTAAAAATGACAGAAGCAGCTGTGAGGCCGGAGCAGTGGAACTCATCGTGTTTACTGTTTAAATTTTCTGAGGTGGACTCACAGCGACACAGCTCCTCTTCAGCGTGAGGGCCTCAGCTGCCTGCCTGTGGGCCAGTACCAGGTTATCTACGTGCACCCAGTTCATTTGAGCCCGGGGGTCACCAAACCGGAAACTGAACAACCGACGCTCCACGTTCATCTGAGCAAGGGACAAAAAGCTCGTCTTGCATCGTTTTCTTGATTTAAACATGGACACTAAACCCAAAAATGTGTCAAACTAACATTTTGGATGGTGATATCTGCACAAAAGCTGGGAGAAGAGTTGCAACAAAGGTGATGGGTCTAATTCAAAACCGGTCTGATGCAAAAACCTTATGTTCAACCCAGTGTTTTACTGTCAGTTTTACTAACTCTGGGTTTGCTAATATTTAAGTCCACATGTATACAGATTAATTATACATTTTATTTCACATCAATTCCAGACTAGTGGTTACAGAGACAAGCAACCGACAGAACATTAAAAGTCACCGCTTCTGGCCTCTTGGCCGGTAGTAAACCCAGAACATAATGTAATCCTTGCAGCCCTTCACCAGACTGTGCCGACAGCCGCCTCGCAGAGGAGACACTGGAAGAAAAGGCATCCGTAACTGGATGCCAGAAGAGCTCCATCAATAATGCAAACTCTTCAGACAGGAATAATTCTGCCAGCGAGGCTTCAGACACCGCGAGATGAACATTTTTTTCCAGTGGCAGCACAGAAGTAATTCATCATCACTATAAGACACGCTCGCTTTAGTCCCCTACCATCACTCTGTGTAGGTGTCTTCTCTCCTCTGGTCCGTAGATGCCACAGGGCCGCAGGATGCAAGTGCGCAGCAGGCCTCCACCTTCACAAAGGAAGATCAAAATGTCACTTCATAAATATTTTAAAGCTTTTCTTTATTAAAATCTAATTGGGATTTTTTTTCTCCTCTAGAAGTAGTGGACTAAGTACATGCATTAAAATACCAATGTTACAAGTACTAAAATACTCAGAAACAGGGAAAAGGGCTGCATTAAGACTTGTGCTTATTTATATGTATTTATATGATACTTATAATGTATCAAGATAGTTTTATATGTTGTGTGATTAATTAACACAGATTTAAGGCAAATAACAACAACAACAACAATAACAATAACAACAACAATAATAATAATAATAATAAGGAAGAAGCAAAGAAGGAGAAAACTTCTGCAAGATAAATTTGAATGTCTTTTATGTTTATATCATTCACTGTATTTATATCATGCCAATTAAAGGAATTTTGCAATATAAAGAATTTTTAGCCAGGACATGGTAAGAGTGGGATTAAAAACTCCCATTTAACAAGAATAAACCTCCAGCAGAACCAGTGAGAAGCTGTGGCAGGTGAATGGAAAGAAAACGATTAAAAGGAGAGCATGGAGAAACAACAACTATGGCTGGACATTAAATAAGCCTGTGAAGTGTTCTTAAGTAAACCTTACATATAGACTCAATCAGGTGGAGCAGGTGCAGTGGAGCAGATTTACTTAAAAATGGCTTTGTAGGAGTCACGTATGAATTTAAAAAGACAAAGATGTGTATGCTGTTCATCAGATGTTTAAATGGTGTTTGTGTTTGATTACGTTCATTTTTTGTGGTTGGTCTCATGATTGGACCTGATTGCCAGTATTAGGGATGGAGTCAGCTGGAGGGCAGAGGGGTTTTTTCTCTCTCTCTTCTCATTAATAAGGATTCGAAACTTATTTTCCAATCTCAGCGAATCAACTGAATCAAAACAAAAGTTTGCAGACCCAGTCTTAGCATCTCAGTGACTTTTAGGTTGTTCCTGACATCAGTACAGACATCCTGTTATTATTATTATTATTATTATTATTATTATTATTATTATTATTATTATTATGCACACAAACACATGACCAGCTGCAGTAGATAATGAGACATGCATGCTTTTAAGCTTAATTGCATGTTGGTGCTCACTGTTGGCGTGCAGGTTTCACTGAAGGAAAGGCTTTATAAATCACAGTGTAAAAAGCAACAATACTATATGAGAAAATGAGCCATTATATACACTCAAATATATACTTTACATGTGTGTTTAAGACATCAATGTCAAGTGACTGCTGCACTAATGAGACTGTTCTGGCCAGCGCCGAGTTTAAAGCACAATCACTGTTGTATGATCGAGTTGCACACTGAGTCTCCATGGAAACTGTTGCCTCTGTCTATTTTCTCTCACTCTTTCAAACACACATTTTTGTTGCTTTTTGGTTTTTTTAAACACAGAAAGCAATTTTCTCTCAATGTGTCCTTTCCCATGTAATTCAGCGATGAGGCACAGCTATCAATTTCACAACCTTTGAGGGAGCCCCCGTTGGCTGCGATGACCATCTGCTCCGCAATCGCTTTAGTTCTGGAGTAGTGGTCAATATGCTGCAACAGAAACATAAATACCGCCTTATTATTTCCCCCTAAAGTGCAGAAAATTGCTGGCAAATGTGTATTTAGTAGAATTGCAGAGCTATTATTGGTGTGACAAAGGTTTTGCTGGAACATTAGTGATGTGGTTTGTTATCGTTAGGGTGGTGAGAATGCAGTTATTTTAAGTACTCACAGCATCAAGGGGCACATATGGCACCGAAGCCTCATCACCATCCACAATCGGTTTCCCTGCAAACACTACGTTGATGGTGCTGGTGTACACCAGTCTGGGGATGCTCCTCTCCTTACACACTGTATGAGACAGAGGATCACAGCAAAGAGAGTCAAATCTATGAATGCTGACATAATTCTCAATATGCCACAATGTATTATGCAGGTGTGCATCCATTTATAAAATGTCACTCTCTAGGCACCTTTCTTAAACCCAAGGTCAACGAACAAAGCATAAAAGACAAACAGTAAAAAGGATAATAAAAAAGCAGTATTAGAAAATAATTGGATTTAATGTTTAAAGAGAATAAGGCAGTATTAAAAAATGGGGTTAGAGTTTTGACTTGAATAAGGGAAGCAAGCCAGTATTCCTGCTATCAGGAGGAAGTGAATTCCAGAGCAGCTGAAACCTCTGTTCTCCATAGTAGTGAGATGGGGAGAGGGAATAATAAGGTGAGTGGTGGATGAAGACCTAAGTAAATAATACAAGAAGGGAGGAGTCAGGATATGGATACATTTGAATGTGAAAAGCAATATTTTGAAAGTGATTCTACAATCTATGGGCAGCCAGTGAAACTGTTGAAGAACAGAGGTGATGTGCTCTCTGGAGGGTGTGCGAGTTGTGATCTGGGCTGCAGAATTCTGAAGAATTTGTAATTTGTAAAGGGACTTGTTGGGAAGATCAAAGAGAAGAGAATTACAATAATCAATCAAAGCAGGGACAAGGATAGCAACAGCATGGGAGGTGAGGAAAGGACGGAGACGATTGATGTTGCGTAAGTGGAAGCAGGCGAACTGGGTGATGTGATTAATATGAGACTGAAACGGCAAAGTGCTGTCGGGGATGACACCCAGACTCTTAACCTGATGGGAGGGAAGGATGGAGGAGTTGTCAATATTAATGGGAAACTTGTGGGATTTGGTTAATGTGGAAGCTGTGCAGGCAAGTAGAACTTCAGTTTTATTACTCTTGAGTTTGAAAACATTGGAGGTGAACCAGATTTGACCTTCATGAGGCAGTCACAAAGGGAGATGAGTGGAAGGGTGAAATTGGGTTTGGAAGAAATATACAGCTCAGTCTCATCTGCGTAACAGTGATGGTTAATATTATATTTTTTATATATGTGATCAAGTGGAAGCATGTAAATAAGGAATAAAAGAGGCCCCAGTACCGAACCCTGGGGCACACCAGCAAAAACAGAAAATTTTCTTACCATTTATGACGTTATTGGTTCCACCAATGTTGACGGACTCCACCTGCTCTTTCCTCAACTAAAAGCCAGAGACAAAGAGGAAGGCTGTTACTCCTGACTGCATATTTTCTCTTCTATAGATAATACAGCCCTTGTTTCCACCTCTGCACAATAATTACATCCATCTCACTTAGGCTCTCATATTAGATTTGAAAGAAAATCAACTTTGAGAGCAGAAAGAAGCCAAATAGCATTAAATATAGTAAAAATAGACACAAAAATAGGAAAAATTTGATTGGATTTTGAGTGATGTACAACAGAAGAGCAAGAATACAAGTATACAAGTCTGCAGCAAACAAATGTGTCCATGTGATGGCAATTTTTTTTTCCTCACTGACTTTTTTATATTTGGATTTGGAATCCAAGGCTATGGAGACTAAAGATGAACTACGTATTTGTATACATCAATGCTAGCCACTGTAGATGAAGAAAACAAGGCATAAGCAATATAAAGAGCAGCCTCAGAAAAAGTCAGAAGCTACATCAGCTGACATTAA